CAGCAGGAGCGCCACCGCGCTCCCAAGCGGCGCACTGTAGCAGTGCGCCACTGGGCCGGCCAATATATCCGTTTTATAATCCATCAAATAATTTTTTTGGAGAGGGGTGCCGCAGCTGGCCAGTACAGGGATCTGTACCTTCACCTTGATGTTATAACACTGTGCTCTTACCAACTGAGCTAACCGGCCAGCCCCTCAAGTAATTTTTTTCTAAAGATCCTGTCCTCAGAGCTTCCATTTGGGAAGGAAGTGCTACATATAAAAATGTCCTCACACATTAACCTTTATAATTATAAATACTTTTTAGGATTCTCCTACTTAGCTTCAACTTTCTTTCATGATATTTTTTGCAAAGGCATTATTATTGGAGATGGATAAAGCAAGGAGAAAAGAGAAAGAAAACTGTACTATGTGGCACATAATAATTCCTATGCAGATGCATTTGTCTTGGTAGTTAGGAAAGCTTGAAGGGCAAGTTATGTTATGGAAATGGAACGTTACCTATCATTTCACTATCTTTGTTCTTTATTCTTTATGGCTGAGCACCAGAGAGAAGGGAAACGTTTGTCAGTAGGAGTAAGGAAACATAGTGCTTTTGTTTAAAAACACTAGTGACTGTCTGCCTTCTGAACAGTGTTGATGGTTAACAAAAGAGTCCTTCATTTTAGGGGCCATGTGGGCTGCAGTTCGTCTAGGCAGCTCCTTCTGGGGTAGGAGGAAGAAGAGGAGGAAGAATTGAGCTAAAATAACCAGAGACAATCATGGTGGGGAGGAGGAGGACAGAAATGCTGATGTTGACCTGAGGGACTTTCTTTTTTTATTGCATACCACTGCCTCCAAGGTTGCCTGTGCCTGCAGTGCCTGACCAGCTTGGAAGAGGGCAGTGCAGGGGCTCTGAAAAGCTTGGTCAACAGGGTGCCGATTCCAGGATCATTAATTTTACTTGAAAAAATTGGAGGGGGGAATATTTTTAAAAATAAAAATAAAAAATAAAAACAAACAAAAGAAAATATTAAAATAAACAGAAATCCAAATGTAAAATTATATATATATATATATATATATATACACATATATATATATATATTATTTTTTTTTTTTTTTTAAATAAAAGATGACTGATAAGGGGATCTTAACCCTTGACTTGATGATGCCAGCACCATGCTCTCCCGAGTAAGCTAATTGGCCATCCCTATATAGGGATCGGAACCTGTGGCCTTGGTGTTATCAGTACCACACTCTCCCAAGTGAGCCATGGGCCAGACCTTAAAAATACATTTTTAAGCTAGAGCACAAATCGTCCACTTTGAGCTTGCAGTGGGCTCCTAGAGATACACACTCACTTGCCTATCTGCTGTTGGTATCTACTGTGGAAGGGAAGTTTGAGGAGTACTGACCATGAGTGCTTCTTTGACTGTATCTGTTGGGTCCTCTGAGAAACAGATGCTGGGATTGATGTAGGAGTGCAAAAGGTGTGGTTTTTTTTTTTTTTTTTTTTTGAGGGAAGGAACACTTGGTAGAGATGAAAGGAAGAAGGAAGACTGAGCAGGAAAAGCCTTTAGATCTTGATGCAGAGCTGATAAAGCCTCAGCCTACCCAATAGGGAGCTCTGGAGGAAAGACTGGCTGCTAAAAGAGTCCCATGTGGGAGATCTTTCTTTACAGGAGATTCAAGCAGTCTGCTCAGCTTCATCACAATCAAACCATCCTAGTACTGATAGGGGAATGGAATAGTACTGATATAGGAATGATACACTGAAGTCTGCTAGGAATTTAAAGAAAAACTCCTGTCTTAGGGTCCAAGGGCTGAGATCTGAAGATTTAGCTCCAATCTGGGATTTGCCACTTAAAAGTTATGTAAAGGCTGGCCAATTAGCTCACTTGGGAGAGCATGGTGCTGGTAACACCAAGGTCACAGGTTCAGATCCCCATATCAGCCAGCTGCCAAAAAAGCAAACAAAAAACCCCCCCAAAGAAACAAACAAATAAAAGTTGTGTGAGTTGAGTAAAATCCTTAACCTCTTTGGGCTTTGGTTATCTACCCTGTCACATAAGGTTGGTAATCTAGCTCAACGGGTTGCTGAAATAACATATATCACACCACAGAAACTGGACTCAGTCAGCCACACAAATCATCTTCAACTCCTGCCTATCTATAAGTTTCTAAAAGTTGGAAGACAAAGCATTTCAACATTTTACATATTTTATCTTATTTTATAATCATACAAACATTTCCTGTGTGTCTACTTTCTGCAGGACTCACCAGCTTTGTATTGTTGAGCAAAGGCTTTCTGCTTTCCAACCTTTAGCATCTCCTTGTTTATGTCACATACCATGACACGGGAACCACCCAAGGAATCCTCTTCATTCTGGTACTTTTTGGCAATTTCTTCCCAAGATAAATTTTGTTGCGCCCTTAACTGCCTCTTCTGTTTTCTCTGATGCTGTGCCTGAACATAATTAAGGAACCGGAATGCAATGTCACCTATGGGAAACCAACAGAAGGAAAGATTCAAACAAAATCAAACAAACAAACAAAACAGCATTTCCTAAACCCAAAAGAAGCAACAATGGTACCAGAATGAGTGAGTGTATGAAAATGGAAGTTTCTCCTCATTTCAACAGTAACTTTTTCTTTTTTTTAACAACTTTTTAACTTCTAAAATTGTTTTAAAAATCTTTTTTTAAAAATTGTATAAGTAATGCATGAACACATTCTCACTATGAAAGACTCAGTACCTATATATAGAATAAAACATGAAAACCACGTTCTCTCTCCATACCTTCTTCAGACATAACAAGTGTTAAGAGCTTAATATGCAGTTTTCTAGTATTTTTCTTATAATTTTAAAATAATTTTTTTTTAAAAGGATGACTGGTAAGGGGATCCGAACCCTTGGCCTTGGTGTTATCAGTACCACACTCTCCCAAGTGAGCCATGGGCTGGCCCAAATTTTAAAATATTTTTTATAAAATGTTCCCTACAAGCATATACTTTTAAGCAATATTTTCCTGCTCACCACTTCTCTTTCCCAGTTTAGAAGCCCAGACACCATCTCTCCCACTCTCATCTGTTTCTTCTGTTGGTTACAGATAATTCTTTTTTTTTTTTTTTTTTTTTTTAAAAGATGACCGGTAAGGGGATCTTAACCCTTGACTTGGTGTTGTCAGCACCACGCTCAGCCAGTGAGCTAACCGGCCATCCCTATGTGGGAACCGAACCTGGGGCCTTGGTGTTATCAGCACCGCACTCTCCCGAGTGAGCCACGGGCCGGCCCCCAGATAATTCTTTTCTTACCAAATTTATAATGATATCTTCCCCCCCCCACCTCTGTTTGCCTCTATATTCCCAGTGTATTTACTTTTCATAGTTCCTCAGATATACCTTTGTAACCTAGAGTAATAAACTAATCAATATTTTATTTCTTATTCCATCAACTACAGTTTCTCTTGACTCCCTTCAACCTTTTATCAAGACTGATAACATTTGTTCTATAGCTGTATATGCCCTATCCTACACCTTTTTTTCTTTTTCTCCCCATTTAATATGTCCTTGAGGCCTTTCCATTCAGTACTTATAGGTTTTCCTCATTCTTTTAAATAGCTACATAATATTTTGGAAGTATCTTAATTTAAAGCCATTTCTTTATTGGGGAAAAAATTATTTCAAATTTTTCAGTATTATCAAAAGTGATGCAGTGAGCATACTTGTAGCTGTATCTTTGTGCAAGTTTTTCTTTAGGCTAGATACCCAGAATTGGAATTGTGGGATCGCAGTCTACGTGCATTTTAGATTTTGAAAGATTCTGCTAAATGGTCCTCCAGAGAGCAAGGTGTCTTATTGCCCTCTGAGCTTCCATTTGGGGAGAGGACCACAACAACAAAGCCACACATAAACCTGTTACAAACATGGAGATTTTTCTACTATAATTTATTGTTAGACATTATTCTTGTTATAAATTATCACATTATTACATTATATTATACATATTTTAATGTAATTTATCATGTACAATGACATCACCAAGATGCACTTCAGAAACTCATGACATTTTTCTCCCCAAAAGCCTAGTTTTCAACAAGTAACAAAGGACCATGAATAAACAATTAAGCTTTTGATACTTGATGTGATAGTGGATTTGGCAGAAAAGGCTGCCTAGAAAGCTTATGTGATATGATAAAAGGCTTCCCCCCAAAAAAGAGAGAAAGTGGGTTAAACAGAAGGTAAAACAGTCATTCAGATGGTGAAATATCACTGGAGTCAAAAATTGGTCATTTTACATTGTAATCCTGTGTATTTTAGAAAAATGGTAGGCACAAAGCTGACATTCTATGCATCTGATTGATATTCAGTCCAAAAGAAAAGCGTTCACCTTTCTTTCTTTTTTTTTTGTCTTTTTTCGTTACCGGTAACGGGACCGCAACCTTCGGTGTCACGCCCATACCGGGGCCGGCAACGGGATCGCAACCGGCAATGGGATTGCAACCGGCAATGGGATCGCAACCCTTGGTGTCGCGTCCGCACCGCGCTCAACCAGTGAGCGGACCGGTCTCTAGGGGCCGGCAACGGGATCGCAACCGGCAATGGGATCGCAACCCTCGGTGTCGCGTCCGCACCGCGCTCAACCAGTGAGCGGACCGGTCTCTATACGGGATCCGAACCCTCGGTGGGAGCGCCGCCGTCCTCCCAAGTGCCGCACTCTACCGAGTGCGCCACCAGGCCGGCCCTACCTTTCTTAAAAGTTTTAAGTATACTGATTTTCAGTTACCATCTTCAGCCTAATGGTAGGTGAGCTAACTCATTCTAGTAAGAGACACTAATTTCAGTAAAAGATGCCCAATGATACTCAAGGATACCAAACTCATTACCTGTGCCTCCAGCAACATCGAGGAGCTGGGTTCCAGGAAGTGGGCGCATCTTCCAGATCAGTAAATCCTTCCAAACACGATGGATACCAAGACTCATCATATCATTCATCACGTCATACTTCTTGGCAACACTTTCAAACACCTGATAGACTGAAATGGACAAACACAAACCATTGTGCTATGAACTTGAAGTGACTTGGAAAAATTCTAAATGAAAAAGGAGGAAGTTTTTTCTTCCCGAAACTGCCTACCTCTGCAAGGTGAAGCTAAGACATAATGCTTGATGTCAAAATCTACACTGTGTTACTACTGCTTTATTTTCTTCATTTTTTAAAAATTTGTTTTTGTTTCTCTTTTCTTTACATTACCTCTTTAAAAAGAGGCTTAAAAGTACTTCATGTAAGAAATCAACCTCTTTTCTGCTGCCTTAGTTATCTTTATCTAGGACTACTACCTTGCAATAATGCTATGCACATACTTGGTACTAAATAGATGTCTCTGTTTCTTAGAGGACGCAGCAAGGGGAATTGCAATTTTTCTAATGGTTATTATAACAAAAGACAACAAAATCCATTAGAAAGACACATGACCAACGGATGGGAAGACTTCAGCTCGTCTCTGCCTGCATCATCAAGAAGAACCTCAGGTATAATTTGGTAGACATATGGATGGCAAGATATCAATCAGGACCAAGTCACATTGTAGAGAGTCCTTATGAATCTTCCCCGTAGGATCAAGACAGACTGTGGAATCTGGAAGAGCTGAAGAGAGAAGGAATCTACTATCCAAGACATTCTGAACAGTTTCTTCTTAAAGCTACATTTAAGTTTTTTTTTTTTCTCTTTTTCTTTTTGCTTAATGTTTTTATTTATCTTTGTTTATTTTTTCTTTATTGGTTTTCTTTTTTTTTTTTTTTACATTTAAGTTTTTTGTATCTCAGTTTCTCTCTGCCCATAAGATGAGAATATCAGAGACAGCTCCCTATCTCCCTGCCATAAGGCTGAATTAGATAATGAATGGGAGATGCTTTAATTCCTCAGCTGAAATGTGCTGCATAAATCCAAAACATTACTGTCCTCTGCCGAATGACTTTAGGCGCCCTCACTGCTCCCCTTTTTACTGAATGCCTACTCTCAGCCCTGGGTTCTCCAAACTTGTTCTCTTTTGAACATCTTTTGTGGTATCTAAGGGTTACTAAGGCACAACCCACGAAGTATAAACAGTCCTTGCTTTGCATAGTTCCAAAATGCATGAATAGCAGTTACTGTGGTTTAGTTAACTAGCACCAGTCCTCCAGCACCACCATTCGAATACAATATTATATTAACTGAGAGTAACTGCATAAAGTATAAACTTTATTAGTAGTCCTTCAGCCCACAAGTCACTATGTAAATAACAGGTATGCATCACAATCAATGACCAATAACATCACTTCTTCACAGACTGTAAGTGTCTGGTCACTGTGCCTCAGTTATTCAGTTCACACGCAGACAGCAAAGCATGTAGTTGTATTACCTTCTTTTCTCTCAGTGATGAACCTATGTGGTAAAGCTGAATAAATGAAAGAGGAAATTGGGCAACAAAAATGAAAGTACAACAAAAAAATGAGAAGCGATAATGCTAGAAGTGAAATTCCAATCTAATGTAAGTTGAGTTACAGGAGAAATTGATGACTGTGGGAATGTTGACACTGCTGTTCCTGGAAAGACTCTAGATCTACAGACAAAGGAATTTTGTGAAGATGAACTTATACACATTAATGATGAATGTGGTTGTGACAAAAAGGTTGGAGATGTCCCAGAGGAAGTGATGCCAACAAAAAAATTTCACATTAAAGGAATTCTTGGAGATATCTCATGACATTGAAAGTGCAAAAGATAAAACGTTAGAAGCTGATAAAAACTGACAAAGGAGTATGACAATTTGCCAGGGCACAGAAAAGATGTTCATTCCCATTGTAATTTATATGACGAGAAGGAAGCGAACAGTGTTCAAACTACTCTTAGTAAATTTTTTTACAAAAAAATAAAACAGTGGACTACGTGGTTAGTTCACTCCACTAGTGCGTGGTGCTGATAACACCAAGGTCAAGGGTTTGGATCCTAGTATAGACAAGCCACCAAAAAATAAAAATAAAAAGAAACAAACAAAACAATTTAATTCTCAATGTTTCCAACTTTTTATTAGAATTTCAATTTAATTTTAATTATTTTTTTTTTTTTTGCAGCTGGCTGGTAGAGGTATTGAACCTTAAATCTTGGTGTTATTAGCTAATTTAAAAAACTTAAACCTGGGGCCGGCCCGGTGGTGCACTGCGATAGTGCGCCGCTTGGGAAGCACAGCGGCACTCCCGCCGAGGGTTCGGATCCCACATACAGACCGGTTCCCGCTCACTGGCTGAGCAAGGCGCGGGAGCAACACCGAGGGTTGCGATCCCGTTGCCGGTCCCGGTCCGGTACGGGGGCGACACTGAGGGTTGCGATCCGTTGCCGGACATGGAAAAAGACAAAAAAAAAAAAACTTAAACTTAAAATTTTAAATCTTTAAAATTTTAATTTGGGCTGGCTGGTTAACTCAGTTAGGTTAGAGCATGGTGTTGTAACACCAAGGTCAAGGGTTCAGATCCCCATACTGGCCAGCTGCCAAAAACCAAAATAAAATAAAATAAATAATAAAAAAAATAAAAATTACATTAATTAAATTAAAATTAAATCTAATTTTAAATTACAGTGTTCTAAATAAATATTAGCTTTACTATATTTTTTTTTCATTTCCCTATACATTTATAACTCAGAGCTTTTGATGTTTGATAATTTTTTTTTTTTTAAATGACCGGTAAGGGGATCTCAGCCCTTGGCTTGGTGTTGTCAGCAC